TGAAATAGAATTAAACATATCAAACATAATTAATAAATTAATATTTTGTTTTAAAAACATTGGACAATCATCATCAGCTAATAAATTTCGTTTACAATAAACAAGTGAAAGTATTATATCACTAAACCATGAATTAATTATAGCAAATAAACATTCAACTGTAATAACAAGTACTACACGACGTGTATCATCTGTTCGACGACGACATGGTAATATATAATTTGATGTTAAACGATTTGATTGATGTATTCGATATACTGATAAAATATTACTAATTATTGTTATAATTGATGGTAGAACATTACCGAATACTTAAATAAAACAAGAAAAATTAAAATAGAAATATCATTTTCTTTACTTTGTGGAATAATTTATGTGAATATGTATTTTTAGAAAGAACAAATTAAAAATTAATTTATACACATTGAATATATTAAAAGTGTTTAGTGTTTTTTAATATTCAAAATTTTTAAAAGATAAAATTATGATCGAAAAAGTTTAAGTTATTTTAATCGAAAGAAAAATTGATAATTATATGAAACAAAGTCTTTGATTTGTTTTGTTCTTTTTTTCTTCTTTGTATTGAATGAACAATTAATTGTTTTTTATTAGCAAGCAACAAAATCTCTTCTATTAACTGTACTAAAATTCATATTCATACAGATGACACACTAAGATTTCTTATTCTATTTCGAATAATTTCTCATGAGAAAAGGGTACCATACATTTATTAGTTTATTTCCTTATGAAATAGGTTTTCTGCAATTAATTTTAATCTTTACGAATAATAAAATTATTTTTTATTAAAATTTTCATTTCTTTTATGTATACATGATATTGTCAGTATTTATAAATAATCTGATTTTGTTATAATAGACAATATAGATCTATTTAGGCTAAGTAAAAGACTTGTACTTGTTAATGTCAAGTATTTGAAATAGAGTCCAGTAGGATGACAATCAAGATTAGGACATTTTGAAAAAGTACAAAACAAGACAAATAGAACTTGAAAAAATACTGGGTAAAAAATCAATGTCCAAGTATTTAAAGTCTAATTATCAGAACGTACCGTTAGAGTCTATCATGTTCGTCCTAGACCCGAATCCAAAAATATTGGACTCAATAGGCTTTATTCGTCTGAGAAATGTATAGGATGTGCTTAGTTACACAATACAGGAAACCGAAAAATCAGTATCTTGTATTTTCGAAGCGATTATCCAATTCCGATTAGAAAATTCTTATTGAGAGTGTCAAAGTATGGTTCAACCGGGTCCGAAAATATTAGACCCGATCAGCTCTTCGTGTCAAACACTTTTTATTTTTATTACTAAAAAAAATTTCTCAATACTTTTTTTTAACTAGCAGAAAATATTCCGCAATCTTTTTCAAGCTGTTTATTATCATTATTTTCAATAGTTGTGTCATTCTATCTTAAAGAAAAGGCAGTAGAAAATAAATAGTTGATCGTCTTTATCTCTATATTTTACTGCTCATCTTTGATAATTAATATTTACGACAGTATAAAAAAAGATGTACTGGAAATTTGTTATTTTCTTTTATTTTCATTAGACATTGACCTTAATAAAACAAAATATACAGGAAAAAAACTCATTTTGATCTATTTAGTTCATAATTAAAGATAATTCAATACTTATTATATATTCATTTCGTGTTCAAAAGAACATTCCTGATCTTTAAACTCCTTCCTTATTTCATTCAAGCATTATATAGATCTATTTCCAGTTTGTTTTGCTACTACTAGTCTTATTTATTTATACATCATTAATTCAAATTCATAGATTATTATTTGACATACTAATATATTTCTCGGCAGACAAAGTACTCACAGCAATATTTAAGTATGTTTCATTGCACTGGAATAGATTGTTTATCTGTTTGCGCTGGAAACGATTTACTAATTAGGAATTCAGTATGAGTGCAATGAATATCTTTAAATACTGTTATACAAAAAACAACTGGAAAATACAATGCAGATAAGTATTTCATCATGAGCATATTAATGAAGGCTACAATAACTAAAAAGAATCTTTTTTCGAATTATTATCAATTCAATCGATTTTAAGTAAGGCTTATTCGGTCAGAATAACCTATTTATTTAATATATAGGTACTTTTAGATTCGTTGAATCAAGTTCTCTCTTATGTAGATCATAATAAAATATCGTTCATTTTTTAATAATTTATAGCATGTATAGGGATTACAGGATTTACTTTCCATGAATTATTTTTGACTTTAATTGAGTTTTTTTTCGCGAAAAAAATATCATTTTTGCTGTCGAGGGTTTACTTTCCATTGATTAACAAAAACATTTTATTCCAATTAGTCGTTTTCTTAATTGTGGATTTACTTTCTGTTAATTATTTCGTAGATGAGTAATGAGCGAACGAATTATCATTGTGATAATCAATGTATTGTCAGAGTAAAATTACAATAAATATATAGACAACAACAAAAAAGTTTCAACAAATATTGAATAAATAAGGAAAAGAGATAACTATTTATTTTTTTTAATGCACGTTGTAAGTGTCTCAACCCAGCTGCTTTTAAGAATGCTAGAATATCAATACGACCTTCATCATAACGTTGCCATAATTTCATCAAACATTTATCTGAAATAACAATATTGGACCAGAATCTTCTATAGCCTTTCGTTTTAAATTTTTTTGCATTTTTAAGACAATCTTCTCAGTTTCATCAGGTATATGTGTATGTTAATCACGCACTACAACGGATAAATCTGAATAACTTGTTACTGTTGCCATACATTTTACACAAACTCAATATTCAGAACCATTTTGATTTTTACGTTTGAAACAATATCGATAACCCAGGTGATATAATTGCTTTTATCACGTGTCGATTCAATAAATTCAGCAGACATTTTGTAGGTACGAAGAAAAAATTTTGTATTCCAAGCTTTATATTTATTTTTACGAAATTAACCCAGTTAACTAATATAGCTTCGAAATTACTGAACATTTCTCATTTGAAACTAAAAATTCAGTTAATCATTGTTTTATTGAATTGATTATCACAATGATAACTCATTCGCTCATTACCTATCTACGAAACAATCAACGGAAAGTAAATACACAATTAAGAAAACGACTAATTGGAATAAAATTTTTTTTTAATCAATGGAAAGTAAATCCTGTATACGCATACATAGTTTACTCTATAATTTTAAGAAATCAGCATTCTTTTCATGCCGAACGTAAATTATATCTGTTAATTATGTTGATCGAGTCCGTGTATTTCTTTCCTTTTTTCTTTCTAAACATCTATTCAACACGTGAATATTCATGATGAATTTAAATTTAAAAAAAACATCGATATTCGATTTCGATGTACACAATTGTGAAAAGAAAATTTACTTCGAATTGTAATTGATATCTAATAATGATTTTAATTCGATTCTTCGTTGTTAAACATATCTTAGAATGAAATTTAAAGCTTTATCCTTATAGAATTTTTTTTCGCTAGTTTAACTTTTATCTTTTAACACCTATTAAGAAAAATTTCTTGTTTAACTGTTAAATGATTTTTCCAGATAGTAAAATCATTCATATTAAGTTAAATAATCTCTAAAGATTGTACTGATCATAGCATCCTTTGATAGACGAATATCTAATGATATTTTCATTAACATATTCAGAGAAGATGAAAAGTAGTATTTAACTTTTTCTGAAAATAAAAAAATCAGTTATTCTCGAGTGTAGTTTTGATTCGAAGAAGATGAATTTTACAGAAACACATTTATATCAGATGATCATGCCTTAAGATTATTATAATTATCTTTCAGAATTGAAGTTCCTAATAAAAATTGAAAGTCATAAGTTCATCATTTCTGATTTAACTAAATTAAGAATCTTTGCTTTTATTATTCATCGATTTTTGTATTACCATTCAAAAAGTAACTTCAACATCTGGATTAATCGAAAAGGTTTCTTTTATTTTTCTACAAGTATAGTTATTAATTTTGAAAAGAAAATTAAATATTAATGAAGAATGTTTGAACTCTTTACGTTCACTATTTATTCCGCCAACTATGTAGTTTTTATATCTTTCTAAATTTTAATATCTTTCATATTCATTAAGATGTATGGATATTGCCTTTAGCTACCCTTGAGAGAAGTTAAGAGATTCTGTAGAAAATATTTCCATCATCATGAAATAAATATATTATGATTTCCATTGAACTCCTATATGATGTGAACTAAGTTCTTTTTTCTATTATAATCCTAGATTTATTCGGCATAGGACAAACAATGACACTCGTCATGATTTATATCCGTCTGAAGTTTTATGTCACTCTTCTTTTCATCAATAAATAATAAACATCAGTTATTCACATAAATAATTCCCTTTTTTTCTTTCAGCAGAAATATGTTATTAGAGTTGCTGTCGTTCTAATGGATTGAAAATAAGATCAATATGACATTTTTCTATCGTGAATTAAACAATACAGATCTGATAATAAAAATAAACAATATACCACCGTATTCATGATTAGTTCTATTATATCAGATAAATCTTCAGTAACAATCCATAATACTATATATGTTAATCTATTTAAAAGATTTTATCTTACCTATAACTAATGT